AATGATTATGAATGACGAACTGGAAAGGACGAGCAAGAAAGCGGTGGCTGCCTACTTTAAGGCACTGTCTCATCATTTGTGTGGGTGGAGTGGGGAAAGACACAACAGGTCTTGAGCATGATAGCTGGTCCCCGGGTATAAAGTCAAACCCAAGGGCATTAAGGATGATGACAGGATTAAATTTGTTTAAGATACGGTCCAGTGACGGGTTGTGAACAGGGCAATGAACACATAAGGCCTGGACTTTCTTGACCAGCTGAGCAACTATCAGCCTCTGAATAAGAACTTTGCTTCATGGAATTAGTTATTTAATAAGATCTATCCCCATTACCAAAGCATTTAAGATAATTTGTGACTTTTATTGACGGTGTCGGGACTGTCCTTTCATTTCGAATGCTCTTTGGCAAAAGAAAATTCTCACTTTCCTTTCACAGAATTTTCAAAACGAAGGAAAGTGTAAGAAACTGAATGATGAAAACCAGAGTGGCCTATACTTTTCTCTCTTTTCCTTCCGCATGCCTATTGTCTACTTTCAACAAAAGCAAGCAGTTTACAACAACAATGTCACGTCTCAAGGTGACGTAGTGTTTCTACTAGGCTTCTACGAGATTTTTCTTCCAGCCTTTATAAATTTTCGGCGTTTAGCACGACGCCTCGGACGACCGGTCGCAAGATTTTTACCTACACGAGACAGCACAACACAGATAGACGCGGACACACATCCGTACCTCTAGTGGGATAAGAACCCACGATTATTTTGACACTTATGGTCACATTTCGTCACGCCCTTACAGTACGTCACTCCTAGTCACGCCTTGTCATGCTTGGTCACGCTTAGACACTTTTCAAATCTTCGTCGTATTTTAACACTTAAGCTGACCTCTCGTTAAGCCTTTATAGCAGGTCACGCATAGACACGCGTTGTCACGCTCGGTCATGTTTGGTCACGCTCTGTAAATCTTCGTCACGTTTCGACACATTTGGTGATCCCGTCACGCCGAGAACGCAGATCACGCTTAGTCGCGCAATGTCACGCTTCGGCACGCATGGTCACTAAGTCACATTTCGGCACGCTTACGTTATGGTAGGTATGGCAAGGTTCATTTTTGATACTTTTCAAAACGTTAGATAAAGTTAGGACAGGTTAGGTTTGGTTAGGTTAGAGTAAGTTTGTTTTGTGGATTTTGTTAGGTTAGGTAACGTTTTGAAAACTGTTGTTACATTTTGACACTTATGGCCACATTTCGTCACGCCACGCCTAGTCACGATTGTTACGCTTGGTGACGCTTTGCAAATATTCGTAACGTTTCGAAATTTCTGGCCACATCTCCTCACTCCGTTACAGTACATCACGCCTAGTCACGCTTTTGTCACGCTTGGGCATGCTTAGATACACCTTTCGAATCTTCGTCGTATTACAACACTTAAGGATACTTATGGAGACCTCCCGTCAGTCCTTAATAGCAGATCACGCCTAGTCACGCTTTGTAACGCTTGGTCACGCTTTGTAAATCCTCGACGTTTCGACAATCATGGCCACATCTCGTCACTTCGTTACAGTATGTCAAGCCTAGTCACGCTTAGTCACGCTTAGACACTTTTCGAATCTTCGACATATTATAACACTTATGGATACTTGTGGAGACCTCCCATCACGCGTTAATATCAGGTCACGCCGTCACGATTTGTCACGCTTGGTCACGCTTTGTAAGTCTTCGTCACGTTTCGACACATTTGTGATCCCCTATCACGTCGTTAACGCAGGTCACGCAATGTCACGCTTCAGCACGCTTACGTTATGTTACGTATGGCTCGGTTAATTTCTGATACTTTGCAAAACGTTAGATGAATTTACGACAGGTTAGGCTAGGCTAGGTTAGGTTAGGTTAGGTTAGGTTAGGTTATGTTAAGTTATGTTTAGTTAGAGTAGGTTAGTTTGTTACATTAGGTAACGTTTTGAAAGTATTCGTCACGTTTCTGCACTTATGGCCACGTCTTGTCACGCCGTTACAGTACGTCACGCTGTCACTCTTGGTCACGCTTTTAAAGTCTTGGTGATGTTTTAACGCTTAAGGCGTCCTTTCGTCAGGCTTTCAAAGAAGATCACGCCTAGTCACGCTTTGTCACTAATATATTGAAGATAATGGAGTGGACAGCAACAGCGGTAGTGATGAATCGAGTGATATGTCAGAAAGCGATGGTCTGTGAGGAGTGAAAAATTGTAAGAGGACCGAAGAGTTGTGAAGAAGATAAAATTATCTAATACTCTCTGCAGTGTTAATTTTCTAGTGATGTGTAGTGTAGTGAAATCGACTTTCCTGTGTTACATAACGTGGTGATATTTTATTTGTAGTGTACTGTACGCGACCTGCTGCCATCCCTTCCAGCAAATTTCTGGTAAGTGACTCGCTCCGAGGTTCCAAATCACAAAGTTTAGTGGCCAAAAACGCTGGAACGCAGTATACAACAGAAGCCATGTTCATGTGTGCGAAGAATCAAGAAAAAACGGTTGTATCTTCTTTCGCTTGTCCAGCAACATAGGAGGAACTAGGATAACAGTTAAAGAATATAAAAAGTGGGCTGTTTCCGGCATCAAATGGACCGGGAATATAACATTATGGGTGTAGGGGATCTTGTTTGTGCCACATCGTTAAGCAAGTCTGTTGTTTATATGAGAAATGCATAAATGTGCGATCAAAAAAACTTGTCACAAGATTTTCCTCTAAATTCTGAAACCTCAAGTTAAACAAATTCCATTCAACACGAAAAACTTTGGGGCAGTTTCATCCACCGCCCATCCTTACAACCTATTTCCTTAAATTCCGTCTTAATGTTATTCTCCCCTCTACCTCTCAATCTTCCAAATGACGGTTTTCCGCGAGACTTCTTCGTGAAAATTCTTTTGCATTCCGTATCTTCCAAGCCCATCGTAAGCTCGATTTCAGTATCCTAACAAAACTAGCAGACTTGTATGAACTTCACAGTTTCTCGTTCTGTAATGTCCTAAAATTCCCGCTTATTTAATCCTCCTTAGTTTCAAATTACATCCTAAACACAATGAAACAAATCTTTCTACAAGTGAAATTTCAGATTGTCACAGAGGCGAGTATGAATATGACAATCGTCTGAGAGATTGCTTCGTGTAGTCTCACAGAAGTTGAAATACGTTTCTGAGGTTCTTACTGCCTCAATCATCAGGGCACGACACGGTGGAACATCCCAGAAGACAGCCATCTTCATACTCGCCGTCTGAGAAGCTTAAATATAAACTATATTTGAGGATGTTTATTAGTATTCGTTACATGCTAAACAACTCTAAATAACATTGACGACTTACTTCTTAGCAACTATGAATATGAACACGAGACCGAAAACACCGACACTCGACTTCGGCTCTCAATTTCAGGTCGTCTACTAGTTAGCGGCGGCTTGTTCTGTTCCCATAAACACGAAGGGAGTGAATTTCTAATGGAAATCAACGTCTAAACAATGCCTCGTTCCTGTCTTGTCGGGCAAAGTCGCTTGCGAGAAATTTGATTAAACGTGTCCTTGCACGAAACGAGTCTACTACCAATTTACTCTTGTGAAATGTTACAGAATCAAGATTATATAGACCCCAGGATTACAAGGTCAGCGTTACCAATTTACTCTTTTGAAATGTAACAGAATCAAGATTATACTCGACAAGAAGTAGTACTGTAATAAAATATTATTAAACAACTAACTCCATGGATTACAGTCAATTTTGTGAAGCAGAGAATGAAAAAATTAACATCTTTTGTGGAATCAAAAGGTTCCTTGCAATGGACCAGCCATTGGAAACTATTCCTTTAATCCAACACACTCTAAAACTATGTTCTTTTAAGATACGTCCCAATATTATCCTAATATCTATACCTTGATCTCTCACATTTCTTGTATAAATTTTAGCTTCTATGTTTAACATAGAGCTACGAAAAAACGAAAGAAATTTTCAAACGTTGATCCAGGAACTTGTCTGATTTATCGTAATTCAAGCTGTAAGGTTTGGGCTTAGAGTTTTCACTAGAAGAAAGTAACTTTCAATGATATCTACAGACTGAAAACGTCTAGAAGTGTAGATGCGTTAGTGTTCCGTCCTGACACTTTTGACCTAAAATGATACAAATCATCTCTCTTCTTGTAACCCGCCTTTTCCCCAGCAATTGTTGTCCAAAACCTGGTACCATATGTGTATGATTTGCCATGTTGGAGCAACATTTATGGCAATGAAAGTGGGCTCTTTGCGGGGCCACCCGAATTTTCTGTCATGATCTCTCAGGGTGGACGTCCGCAACTGAATATAAAGTGGCAGAAGAAACCGGAGATTCAACACCACTAACACTAAAACCTGCCATTCGACACGTTCCTGAGCCAGAATCATTCATCTTCCTTTCTCACAGCCTGGCTTTCTAAGATCTATCATAACCTCATCCTCTTATCTCATTGTCGGTCTTCCAAGTTGTCATTATCCAAGATATTTCCCCGTGAATAATCGGCATGCATTCATTTTCGCCCATTCTAGCAACATGCCCAGCCCATCCAGGACTCTAAAGTTTACTATTATTATCATCATCGTAAATGCCCTGTATAAATCATGAATGCCCCCATTATGTAGGCCAAATGTCATAATTTGCCTTTATATTTCATCTTCCTCAGGCCCGATTATTTCCCGAAGCACTTTAATACTCACACTTGTAATTTATGTAGCTGCTACTTCCCTCACTGTAAGAAACCATGTTTTACACTCACAAAAGAAACTGGCAACATCGTTTTGAATATCCCTATCTTCAGCGTTTTGTAAGGTGGACGAAATGTTAACAGCTTCCGAACTGAATAATGACATTTGTTTCAACATAAATCTTACTTCGACAAATCTGTTGGAAGTATAACTTTCCCACATCGTAAGCAAACTTAGACGTCTTCTGACGGGACTACACACAATCAGGACGATTATAAGTTGTCTGGAAAGCAAAACTCACTGGAAACCTCTCTTGGCAAGAATCCATCGCATGGGTCCCGAGATTTCTGTGACGTAAACATTGCTGAAGAGCGACGCCATCACCTCTGTGGTCTTGCCGTCGCCTGCACCTAGGTCCAGCAAGGCGCCACCACACCAGTCCTCTGCTACTCCTAGCAGTCGACGGAACTGATCCAGCGAGAACACGAACATGGAACCTCGTCCCAGCAGTCTGTCAACAACACGAATATCTACTTACTTCAACGAAAACAAGTAAACTATGTACAAACTAAAATATTATTTCAGTGGTTTATTGGTCTTATTAAGTATGTCCATGTCACCACGGTATGGTGAGACCTCAGGTTGCGTTTGGAGGAGAAGCCATCCATATATAGTGGAGGGGGGAGGGGGGTAACTCTGTATATATTGAGTAATCAGTCGCGGACAGACAACAAGGGTTGTTCCTCCAGCTTGAGAGTTGGATGGGGCTAACAGCTCCTCACCGTAAAAAACAACGTGTTACGAAATGCTACGCAGCACCTCGAAGAATAGTGGGCTTTTGTGAACACGACATGAACTTTGGGGTTCCATAAACGGCTGGGAATTTATCATAACCATTCGGTTAAAACTGTATATAGAATGTGGCAAACAATTATAATTTGGTTTTATGACCAGTATTGCAGAACTGCTGAATTCCAGCATGCTAACCCATAAGTTACAATGTATTTCATTGTTTTGTTATAAATTTACAAGATATTACCTAAATATGACCTAACTATAACATTAACAAACAGGGATTTATAGGACTGGGAGTCTTTGCTTTAGGAAAATATGTTTTATGAGCTGTGACCTGAAATTCTTGTTTACCCTTATTTCTTTGTGTAATTTACCACCTACATAAATGTTCACTTCGTAAAATGTGCCAATGCCAACATGATGTCTGGTTAAGATATTTTTACAACGTATACAAGACAAGCTTCTTCGCCATCGCACGTGGAAACAACTGTGAGTGAGGACCGCCTGGGTGTTAAGCGTCATACAGCGACCAGGTGATCTTGCAGACTTCTCAGTGATTGAGGGTGTAACACATTGAAACACAGCCATAAAGAAATGGCCAACATTTTTCTTGGACTGTTTTATTAACGTTAGCGAAAGAGCGCATTGGTGTATTTGCATGACGTCCAGCACGCAGGTCCGGTTTGGATACGCTGGTTGATAGCTATACATTATGTACCTTGCTATTTTTTTTCCAACGTGGTCCCCCGCCGCCCCTGTAGCCAGTATGTTTATTTATTTCGTTCGTGGTTCATTTAACGACGCTTTCAACTGCTACGATTATACAGCGTCGAATGGCAGGATGATAAATGAATAATAAATTGGAAATAATGTATGCTATCTCTATCATTATCATTATCATCATCATCATCATCATCATCGAAACCACTGTGAACTCGCAAGTCTTCAAAGACAGTTATAAGAACAGGAGACTCGGTGGGCCCGAGGGTCAGTTCGTTCATTGTGCCAGGAACTCGGTAGCCAGCCACTTATCATTCAACATTTATTGTTCACCGTGATGTATTCGTAATTGATGACAAAGCAAACAGAATACTATTCTTCTCCATGGAGAAAAGTCCATCTTATAATATGTAAAATTGTTCTTTTGGGTTTTTTCTGTCGTTATAAAACTATACAACTACCAAGGTTTCGGAAGCTGGATTCTGCTTTCGTCTTCAGGTAACGACCGGAAGCAGAATGCACCTTCCGAACCGTTGCAATTTCATGATTTAGGCGACGAAGTCCAAAATAACAATTTTACGTATTATAACGCACGATCGTCAGAAATCTTAGGACTGTGAGAGTTTATCTTGATAAACTGAAAGTCGCTCATTAAATATTATCCTTAGAGAATTAAACTCATTCCTTAAGATCCAATTCATTAGACGCCCACCTATGCCTAGGTCTTCCAAGATGACTACTTCTTTTCTCCTACATGTCCTGCTTATATAACATCCAAATAATATTTAATGAAAAGTATGTATACACATTTTGTTGACATACCGGACTCGGATAGCTATTCAATTTGAGTTATCTGCATCAATTTTAATATACACAAAGGTAACAGCGTAACACAAAATACGTATGTGTGTAGTATAGTTCTAGAAGCAAAATCATCCTCCATAGGACATTTTACAGTAAAACTGAACCAATCAATCGATAGGGTACAAAAGTCCAAAGCTCATAGTCTGTGTACAGTACCCGTCATATATTAGGACAACATCTTACATGGCATGCAAATTCTTTCTCCAAGTTCTGAACCCACGTACTTACATGTACTTTGTTAAAACTCGCAGGCATATTTCGTTCAAATTCTCACAGCTGGAAATCGAGATTTTCATCACGCTATGGATTAAAAAATTCAAAGGCTTTACTGTTATATTAATCCCTGGGCTCAGTCCCAAAACCCTGATGGCCAAACAACACGGAACTGAACAGCAGCTTGTACTGATGTAACGAAAAGTGTGCACGAGTACTACTTATCATGCAAATCAGATTGTTTCGTCTTCCAGGTTGCTATATAAAATACCAAGATTAAAATAAACGAAACTATAATTTTGCCTATTGATTTGTACGGGTGTGAAACCTGGTTTCTCACATTAAGGGAAGAACACAGATTAGAAATATGGGCTGAGGGTGACAAGGAAAATATTTGGATACAAGAGGATAATGCATAATGAACAATCTTCACAAATAGTGTATGATGATCAAATCAAAGATGATGAAATAAGCGGTGCATGTAGCACGCATGAGGGAAATGAGAAATAAACACAAAATATTGGTTGGAAAGACTGAGAGGAAGAGACCACTCAGAAGACCTGGGCCTAGACTGGAGAAAAGGTAATATTAAAAAGAATCTTATGGAAGCAGGGTGGGAAAATTTGGATTGGATTTGTGCGGCTCAGGACAAGAAAACGGTGACGAGTCCTTTTAACTGGGATGTTCCACCATGTAGTCCGGTAGAAACTGACCGATTCTATCATCAGGACAAGACTACACGGCGTAGCATCTCAGAAGACAGTTACCTTCAAAGTCGCAGCCGTGATAACCTGAACTCTCGACCGCTACATTGACGTTGGAGAACTCCAAAGTAGAAGAGTGGATGGTCTATAGTGGCATGATGGCCATACCCATTTTCACGTAAATCCGTCATTTAGTTGACAGGCTGTTAGGACAGGATGAGCAGTCGTCTAACCCGTACCTGTGTTGTCACTTTCTTTCCTGATCTATCCCATCCCTGATCCAAGTCGAATTCAGCAAGCAGGATTGATTAATGGAGTATGAATAGGCAGATATACAAAGTGACGTCTGAGTTTCAAATTACTGTACCTCACGAAGTCCACACCCCGGCGTGGTGTGGGCCGAACACTGACATAACATGGGCTCTGGATAATGAAGGCTGTACGTTGTACAGTCGCAAGGACTGCAACGGGGACCTGGATGCTCCATTAAATTTAAACGGACCTCTTCCACTGGTTACAGGGAAAAATGCAAATGAGGCCATCTTTTGAACGACAATCATGCACGTTAACTGCATACTCTATTTTAATGAAAAAACCGTACAATACACATTTCAAAGTAATCTACCGTCACTTGCTTGAAGGGACTGAGAAAAACTGGGTTAGGATACTTCGTTCCTAGGCGGAAATTTGATACTGAGATCTCTCGAATACGAGCCGGAGAGCTGCCCACTGCACCGCACTGTCAGGTTCATTGGGAATCATGATTATGAAACGAGATCCGTATCGATGCCACGAGATAGCAAAAGACGTTAATATAATAATGGATTACTTTTTACCTTAAGACCAGAATCTGCTTGCTCGTATAGGTTTATCCAAATTTCAAAATATCTTTAAAGCCCACAAGAAACACATCCAAACTAGGGAAACAGCCAATGTAACGTAACTAACTCCATAAAATAGTGTCCTTGAAAAGTTAACAGCAGCAGCAAGAAATTCCCCCAACTTTAGGAATTTCAAAAGTTCAGTACTGTCTTCACAAGAGCCCGCCATTGGTCCCTGTCCTGATTCAGATGAATTCAATCCATACCTCTAAATCCTATTTCCCTTCCAAGATCAATCTGAATATTATCCTGTCACCTACAACTATTTCTTCCAAGTAGCCTCTTCCCTTCAGGCTTACAGGCAATCAAAATTCTGTACGCATTTCTCATTTGGCCACGCGCGCTAAATTCCCAGCCCTTTGATTTGATAATCCTAATAATATGTGGTGATTATGCAATTTTCTCGAAACTGCTGTCACTTCATCCTTCTTAGGTACAAGTATTTTCCTACGCACCCTTTCTTAGATATCCTCAACCTGTGTACTTCCCCTGACGTGAGAGACCAGGTTTCACACTCAGATAAAATTATAGTTTTCATATTTTAATCTTTTCCTTTTAGATAGTAGAAAGGAAGATAAATATTCTGAACTGCATGGAAAAAGGCATTCCCGGAATTTAGACTGCTTTTAACTTACTCGTGAATGATACTCTACTATGTCAACCGTCTAACACTCAGCGGTAATTATATGACCCACCTGATTTAACAGCCAATAACTATGTACTTTGTACATACTGGCTTCGTATGATTTTCACTCTCCAACAGCGATTATTTCCTTAACCAGAATTAACAATCTTCATAATGAATTGTTGTGTTTACTTTGTGGTACGGACTGAATTATTAAATATTGTTTAGATGAGCTTCGGCTTAAAAGGGGTTATTAGCTACCTTCACTGAATAATATTGCCTTGCAGTCTGGTGACAAGACATGGATAAGTACTTCGTTTTCTCTACGTTTACTTCTTTACTAGCATTTAACACAGCTTCTGTACTTTTCTTTATGACATTTATGTTTTCACCCAATAAATTAACATCAGCACAGACGATGGTAATTTATTGGGTAAAAACATAAAGAGGTACATCAGTTTACAGTGTGTAATATTTTAGGGTACACGACTGTACAAGGAAACAAAACAGGCGACTCTACAGACAGACAGACAAACAAAGTTGTTATAATATAAGTACCTAAACCATGATGATTCACCTGCTACAGCCCTTCCCAAGTCACTAATCATCCATCAAGTATTATCATCAAATATTTGAAATAAAACACAAACGATTCGTTTCCGCCATGTCTGTTTTTTTCCCTTGTTTTAGGAAGTCAGTCTGTACCCCT